ACCAAACCGATACCAAATGGGACGGGACTGTGATGCATATATTTAAAACTGATTATCACGGACCGAACCGTCCAACGCTATATACGGAGTGTGTATCTCAAATAATTATGGAGTATTTGTCTACTTCATCTTACCTTATATAGAATACTTCATATTTTATTATTCATTTTTAAACTCTCTCATTATTATTACTATTAGAATTAATAGTATTCATTTTATTATTACTATTATTACTATTAGAATTTTTTTCCCAATTCATATAATATTGGAATTACTTCATATTTTAAACTCTCTCGAAAGTTATAAGTTCGCTATTTACTTTATCATTACTATTAGAATTATTTTTTAAATAGTTATTAGTATTCCAATATTATATGAATTGGGAAAAAAATTATTTTTTAACTTTCGACTCGTTATCTTTTATTTATTATGTTTATGATCCGTTTAAATTTGAAATCAATACTTTTATTTAACAAACTTGTACTTTTTTATACAAACTTATACGTTAAATTCAATATTTTTTAACTAATGTACATTCATTTTTTTGGCACGGTTTGAGCATGGGTATGGTATTGTACCGTTCCGTTTCAAAACGGAATGGTACCGAATGGTTTTGCAGTTCATCCCGTACCGATACCGAACCGTTTAAATAAGAGCGGTCCGTGATAGGTTCCGGTAGTATCACGGACCATCACGGACCGCGCCCACCCCTAAATAATTCTGTTACCCCTTGTGGTTTTGGAAATGGGCACCAATGCCCCTTCTCCTTTTATCTTTATTGTTATTTTCTTTTTTCTTTTCCTTTTTATAAAGAGAAGAAAAGTGTTTGTGTTTGAAATAATGAAAAGTTATTTTTCAAAAGTCAAAACTATATCTTTAAAAAAGTTTTAAAAAATAAAAAATATTTGTTGTTGAAACAAAAAATGAAATAAAATTTTTAACATATACTTCAATTTTCAATTTAAATATTTAACTTTGTTAAGAGCACCCACAAGGCTAGCTCTCCCTTCGCCGGCTGAGAGGGACGAAGGACGTTCGTAGAGAATGAAAGGGACGGCGGCTAGGGTTACGGAAGAATAATGAGCTACTAACTACTCCTTAATTACTTTTCATTCATGCATGCCTTCAATAGTCCAAAGACAAGAGTATAT